AACAAACAATAAAGAGCATGCAGAAGGATGTCGTTTTTCTAAATAACCTGTCAGAGAGCCGCCCGTTGGCAACGCTTGTCTGCATGGTCGTCGGTGATAATACGAACGGCAAAAAAAAACATTATTAAACTGCACAATTGTCAAACAAATCTAGCCATATTATCCGCGACTGGGTCGATTCTCGTAGCAAAACATGACTACTCGTAAGCTGAGGAAGCATCTCCACTCGGAACTGCTTCTCCTCGCGGAGTGAAGGAAATTAGAAGCTTAGCTGCTGCGCTCACGAGACGAGCTCAGCCGTCCCGGGACGCGTGCGGCCGCGGTACCACATCGCGCGATCCCCAGTGCAGTCACGAACACAGACGGCTTATGATCTACAGAGGAAGCCGGCGGATCGCGGATGGAATATCCACAGGAAGGGGTCAAGGCGGATCATACCGCAGCGGGATGCGGGTACGGGAGTGGCCGCATGCCGCGTCCGCTCAGTACCTATACCGTTCTACATATGTGCGATATGCATACATGCGCCATTGAGGTGAGAACGGAAACACATCAAAAAGAACAAGTAAGGTCGAGCAGACTGGGAACGGGTGGTTGGCTTTCGGAGTCAGCAACGAAGGAAGATGGGCGCTCATCCCTTGCCCGGTCGACAGCCGATTTTTCTTTTTTCCAGTACTAGCAATTTGATACTATAGCAGAAGACGTGCACTCTCTAATGATCGCTTCCGGCACCGATCGGGACTGCCGAGAGTTAGAAGGCAGACCGCTTCTGACCGTCGCTGGAACGGGTGCGCCACTGCTGATGGGACAGTCGTGTGTTACAGATCCTCCAGGTCGTGCCGTGCTCCGTGGATTATCCACAAAGCTGCCTTCTAACGAGACACCGACCGACGGTATCACGTGTGCTGATCAGTAGTGTCAATCGGAACTTGAATCTTCGGAATTCCGATTTTGTCCAATGTCCAATTCGGAATTCGGTTGGACAATGGCAGCAGGCTTTGGACAACTTTGGACAATCGCTTGCTACACCTCAACATTTCAAAAAAGCAATCGTGTTTAACATTGATTGGCTATTAGAAAGCTCAGCTTTCAATATGATTAACACTTTTGAGCTGGTAACGGTACATGAAAAGCAAATTAAATAGCAGTGTTGAGTGTAAACTATAGCGTAGGTGTCGGACATCTTTGGACAAATGGCTGGCTTGGACATTTTTGGACGGACAGTTGACGTAAGCATTGGACATTGGACGGACTTTCGACATACGTGTTCTGAAATTGACACCACTAGTGCTGATGTCAATGTGCAATATCGATCCGACAAAACTGTACAACAAATAGATAAAAACGCTGTCGAAACATGGCCTTGCAATGTAGTTAAAAATGACATGTGCGGATTACAACCGGATGATGAATTAGGTACGTATCAGCTCCAATTAAACAGACAAACCGTTGCAATATACCAGCTCGATGCGCTGATAACGTCTCAGTGCAGGCTGTTTGACGACACGGTGGGACGATTCGCCGGCCCGGACTGGTGCCGAGTGGCAGGCGAGGGAGCTGTTGCGGCGTGCGCCGAGACCGAGTCGTGCCAGGCCCGGGGACCCTGTGCTGGCGGGGTCGTGACTTTCCGTCACCCACGTCCCTCAGTGCGCCGGAAACCCCTGTTGAACACAGCACGCCTGTGCAGCGGGCTCAACAAAGGGGCCTGATGAAACGCGATGACTCAGTAACTCTACTTAATCACTGTGCTTAATGAACCCAAAAATATCGCTTCCGATTAAGAGAGCAACATGTTTCCATCGATTGCAAGAGTCACGTGCCCACTTTAAGTATTCTATTATAATATTCATGAAAGCACTTCGCTAAACAGATTCCCCCATTCCTAGGTTTAAAAAACGTATCATGCGATAAAGATAAGAGGTGAGAATAAGATACTGAAAAAGCTCATGCCATTATGCGGAAGGAATAGTAAAGGATCAAAAAGGTTACATAAAGCGAGGACGTCAGATAGTTATAACTTTGAGTCAATAATGGTAATTTGGCCATCCCAGAAAAATGTTTCGCAGGATTCGTGTCATTACTTCCTATTATAACCCGAACTCTAAAGTAATCGCCTCAAACTCCCCGCCCTTTGCAGGCGATGCAGACGGTCGATTAGATATCTATCACCAAGTGCGTGTTACAGCATCACCGTCGTCTCACAGCTGTCGGCAGGGTCAAGTGTACCGTATCAAGTCGGCTAACCGGTCTTGCGCCAAGCACTAAGCCCTGCAGTACCCCTACTCCCAGGACAGGATAATCCCGCCCCAGAAACTGGCCGAATTCGGGCTGTAATCAGTCGACAGTCCACGCTTTTGTAGCTCTGGGTACTGCGGAGGATTCGCGAAACCGGTATTTCCATCGCCGTTTATTATCTTGCATTGTAAGCTATTTTGCCCACAGCAGGTGATGGTCGAGCTAATTGATCATCGTTAAAGGAAATAGTTCACTTTTAACATGGGGTTTTGAACTGGAATAGCAGTTTCGTAGCTTGAGCTGAGACTAGCACAAATCAGGAGCTTTTACGGCTCAACGATCACCCTAGACGAAGATATTCCATTTCTCGTTCCGAAAAGAGTGCCTTGCAGAGGAATGCGTGCCTTGCACAGGAATGCAGCCACGTCATCGTCAGCCAATCAGCATGCTGCTTACAGCCAATGCAGTATGCGTAGGTTTGAATTACGCGATATGATTGGTCAACGCGTAATAAGCTTCCGCCTCAAACATTATTTTACATAGAATATAGTTCGTCCTATATTAAAATATAGAAAATAATTGTTTTTACAAAAAGGTTTTACTTTCTTTCATGATCATTTTGAGCATAAAAAATCATAAATCAATAGCAAAATACTAATTTCAGGAAAGTGAACTGTTTCCTTTAATCAAATTGTCATGCCAGTATAAGAACGATAATCCTGCAAGCATTTATGTTTTATATAGGTGCTTAATTGTTATTTATGTGCTTTACCTATCATTTAAATTTTGAAACATATTGGACACAACTTACTTTAATGTCTGTTCGTCCTTTTCTCGAGACGGTAAACGGGCTCACTAAATGGTCTGATGAGACGTCGCGACACAAATTAGGTGCTTGCATTGTAGCCTGCCCTGATGCGAACTATGGTCATTTGAAAATTCGAGTGGCACCGAAAGTGGTGCAAGCGAGATTAATCACTAAATATAATAAGCACATATTTGTCACAATATTCGTCAGCCGAGTGCTGAGGTAAATTCGGAATGTCGCAGCATTGAGGGCTGCTGCACAGATTCACACCTGCACTAACTGCACTTGGTATTTCAGACACGTTTCTAACTACCAGGGCCTATTTTAACATGTTAACTGGGGGGGCAAATGCCCCCGCACTCAACAGAATTGCCCCCCTAGTCGTCGAGATTTGCCCACTATAAAAATGGGCATAAAGGAACAGGGTGACAAACATACTACGTAACTACTGTGACTTGTTTTGCAATGGATGTCAAATGAGTCAGTCTGTAAGTAATGACCAGTGGTGTATCTAAGGGTGGGTCATATGGGTCATGACCCCCCACCCTCTTGGGGCCCGGGGACACCACAGGCCTGCCAGGGGCACCACCGGCCTGTCAGGGGCACCACAGGCCTGTTGGGAGCACCATCAACCTAGCAAGAGCACCATAGGTCTGCCAGGGGCACCACAGACCTGCCAGGGGCCCCACCGGCCTCGCAGGGGCACCACCTTGGGCCTGTCAGGGGTACCACCACAGGCCCGCCAGGGGCACCATAGGCCTGCCAGAGGCACCATAGGCCTAGCAAGGGCGCCACGGACCTGTCAGTGGCACCAGAGGCCTAGTATGGACACCACATGCCTGGCAGGGACACCACCGGCCTCGCAGGGACTGGGACACCTTGGGCCTGTTAGTGGCACCACGTGCCTGTCGGGGACACTCCAGGATTGTCAGGAGCACCACAGTCCTGTCCGGGCCCAGGGGCACCACCGGCCTCACGTGGACACCACCGGCCTCGCAAAGGCATCATGGGCCTGTCAGGGGCACCACGGGCCTGTCGTTGGAACTTCAGGCTTGTCAGGGACACCACAGTTCTTTCAGATGCACCGGCGGCCTAGCACCATGGCACCATGTTTGGCCGAGGTCGCGATTCGGCGTATGTCGCCTCGCATTAGCCGCGCGTTTGCAGTCTTTTCGTGGTTTCAAACGTTCAAACATGGGATATGATGTTGCTCCCATGCATTAGGGTGTGTGTCAAGATCACCGGAAGGTCAGGTCATATCATTTACCTTTGATGACCTCGGTTCACATTTTCGAGTTTTATGTTTCTAGGCTAGTTTTTTGGAGCTGAATTCGAATCAAGCAACCATTTGACCATTCACGAAGTGGTTTTGGTGCCTTCGTAACATGTTACGAAGCTGTCAGAGGCGGTTGCCACCTACTACGAATACCCGGCAAAACCCTTACTGGTTGACCTGACCTGACCTGACCTGGCCTAAATGCATGAAAACATCATCTATGATCATAACTAACATGATATTCGTGATCAGCACCCCGAAAAACCATAGCAGCCACTCTTTACGACGCTCTAACAGGTCCCGATTTTCCCGACTTTTGGGTCAATGACCTGACCTGGAAGGTCAACCGATGACCTAGGACCTTAAAATTGGGTATAATCGGCTTCCTTTCATCACGGGCAACACGGTCGTTTTTTCCGTGAAGCTCTAGCTCGATCAGGGGCGAAACGGCAAGGGGGAGGGTCCAACGGACCCCCCCCCCCCTATACGCTCGCTACTGGAAACACCAATACGGGCGAGGGTTAATGGATTATTAAAGACAATTTTCCAGGTTGCCCCCCCAGTCAAATTCCCTTAAAATAGGCTCTGCTAACTACTAATGCCTATTTTGTGACATGTAACGCAACGATAGTGGTTTGTAGGAAACACAGCACTCAGCATCGTAATTGCAGTATATGGTCGATAAATACGGGTGTGTGCCTTACTATCCGGAATATTTCGCCATTGGAACCTGTCGCCAGTCGCGCGTAATCACCGCCAGAGCCGTCCGGTTCTGTCCGAAGGAACCATTGGCGCACTTTTTTCCGCACCCTTGCGCCATCTTAGCGATGTCGACGGAAGAAAGTGGAAGCGGGATTTGGGAAATTTTGTCATCCGCAGGTGTCCCGTTGCAAGGCCATCCATGTCACTGAGCGGCGAGCGGACCGGCCGGTGCGGATGGGGATGCCGGTCGGTCGCCAGGGCGGCTATAAAGGCCGACCTGACCGGCAGGCGGGCACCAGTTCAACAACTGCAGCCGACTGCAAGGTGTGTGCAGTGAGAGGGCAAGAACAGATCAGTGTCTAACGTCGTCTGGCCGAGGAAGACAATGCGAACTTAACCACTTTGACGGTCGGCGGTCACCTCCCGAAACAACAAATTTGTTACTCGTTTACTGGATTGATAACTAAAACAACGTTAAATGCTAATCTCCAGTACATCAAACTCAGAGCTTTCGAAATACGTCAAATTTAACGGTCTATTTTCACAGTTTTAATTGTCTCGCACCGAAACTTTACCCCAACCATAGCTGGTTTGGCCAGCATATCCGCCATCGCGCAGCAGTGACCGGAGGTCGGCAGTTCGACCGCGCAGCACTGACCGGGGGTCGGCCGTTCGTTTCAGATGCGTCTGCTCCTCCCCGTAGCCGTGGTGGCACTGGCCGGCGTGGCCACTGCCTCCTATGGTCCTCCAGTGGCGAGCCACTACGGCGGTCGAGGCGGCGGAGTGCATGTAGGCGGAGGAGGCGCCGTCGGAGGCGCTATTGCAGGAGGCGCCATCGGAGGCAGTGGTAGTTTCATCAGCGGCGGAAGTCACGGCGGAAGCCACGGCGCAGTCGGAGGAGGAGGATATTATCAAGGCAAGTGAAATAACGTCGTCCCATAAATGTTACTTGTAAGGTGCCCCAATTCGCTGCACCAAACACGAATCCTATCCCGAAATGGAAACACCCTCAGTTTGTTTTTCAATAGAAAAACACAATTCTAAAGAATAGTGTTTGTCTAATGAAGAAACTACCTTCGGGTATTGTTATGTTTTGGTTCGTTTGAGTGAAAGAGCACACAATCAATGAAAAAACGCGATTTATTTACTGCGATACGTTCAGGCCGAAAGAGTGTCCAAAAGAAAAACAAGTATCGCGAGCGCCGCGCCTAGTCGCCCGCGCCAGCTCTGCCGCTCGGCGCGCAGTCAGCTGGCGGCGGCAGAGGCGCTCACAGGCATGTAGCCGGGGCGGCCAGCGGTGGCGGCGGCAGGGGCGCGCGCAGGCGCGGCCAGCAGCCGTGCGGGGGTTGGACCATAACACAACACCTCCCCCCCAAGACGATCACATCGTCTTCACTTCAAAGCGCCACAGCGGACCCTCCGGGGTCCGGGCGCACAAGGCCACCGCAGCGCGGTGCAAACGGCGGCGCCTGCGCTCTCTTCCGCGGCGTCTCGGGCGCTTCTTGCAGCGGACGCGCCCGCCGTCGCGCGGGGAGGTCCGCGGCAGGCGTCGCTCCGGTGTCGGTGGCGGCCACGGGTCGCGGTCAGCGGCGGCTCTGGTCACCCCTGGACTCGGGGCCACGAGCGGCGGCAGACGCGAGTCGCACTCCGTATCCCGCTCAGCGAGCATAGCTGCGACGGCAGCTGCGTGAAGCGGGTCCTCATCCACCACCTCGACCGAGTGGAGGGTGGTGTCACCGAGGTTCGTGTCACCGCGCCGATCGGACTTGTCACCGGCGGACACGCATCCCTGCGGCGTACGGAGGAGCGCGGCGGCGTGAGCCGCCACCATTTGTGCGGGCGGGTCTCCGTCCCCACTCCGTACTGGCAGGCCTCCCGCCGGCGGCGGCGAGGCTCCGTAGGCGTCAGCCAGCTCGGTAGGCTGCGCCGCATGACTACAGCCGGCTTGGCCGGTGCCCGCCGGCGGCGGCGACTCGGCGGTGCTGGCGGCTGGGCCTCCATCCGTGTTTCGAGTTGGCATGCCTCCCGCCGGCGGCGGCGAGGCTCCGTAGACATCAGTAGTCTCACTCAGCTCGATGGGCTGTGCCGCACAACAGTCGGCTTGGCTGGTGTCCCCCGGCAGCGGCGACACGGCGTAGCCGGCGGCTGTACCTCCGTCCCTGGTCCGCATGGGTAGGCCTCCCGCCGGCGGCGGCGAGGCTCCGTAAGCTGCAGCCGGCCTGGTAGGCTGCGCCGCGGTACACCCGGTCCGGACGGTGTCCGCCGGCGGCGACGACACAGCGGTGCCGGCAGCTACGCCTCGGCCCGTGCTCAGCGTTTGTAGGCCTCCCGCCGGCGGCGGCGAGGCTCCGTAAGCTACAGCCGCTGCATCCGGGCCTGCAGGCTGCACCGCAGTGGCCCCGGGTTGGCCCGTGTCCGCCGGCGGCGGCAACACGGCGTCACCAGCGGCTTCGTTTCCGTGGCTGGTCCGCGTTGGAAGGCTTCCCGTCGGCGACGGCGAAGCTCCGTGGGCGTCAGCCGGCTCTGTAGGCTGCGCCGCGGTACATCCAGCTCGGTCCGTGTCCGCCTGCGGCGGTGACACGCCGGGGGCTGCCTCCATGGTCTGTGCCGGCCAGCCTCCCGCCGGCGGCGGGCAGGCTCCGCGCGCGCCAGCCGGCTCGGTGGGCTGCGCCGCGGTACGGCCGGTGCGGTCCGTGTCCGCCTGCGGCGGTGACACGCCGGGGGCTGCCTCCATGGTCTGCGCCGGCCAGCCTCCCGCCGGCGGCGGGCAGGCTCCGCGCGCGCCAGCCGGCTCGGTGGGCTGCGCCGCGGTACGGCCGGCTCCTCGGCCCGTGTCTGCCGGCGGCACCGACACGGCGGCGCCGGTGGCTACCGATGGGCCTCCCGCCGGCGGCGGCGAGGCTCCGTGCACTCGGTCCGTGCTCCAAGTTGGGATGCCTCCCGCCGGCGGCGGCGAGGCTCCGTAGGCGTCCGTAGCTCCGTCCGGCTCTGTGGGCTGCGCTGCAGTACTCCCGGTGCGGCCCGTGTCCGCCTGCGGCGGCAACACGGCGGTGCCGGCGGCTACCGTTACTGGCGCCACCACCGGCGAGTCGCGTACTCTCGTCACTGCAGAGGTCGCCACTGGACGATCGGCCGCGGCGGTGGCCCTCTCGTGGCACACTACCTCAAAATGTCCTGGTTCGCCACACGCACGACAGATGGCGCCAGCGGCGCGACACGTGTCTCCGCCGGCGTGCTGGCGACGGCCACAGGTAGGGCAACGCTCAAGAAACTGACGATTGGTGGCGGCGGCGGCATGGGCGACACTCGGCCGACTGCGGTCCCTCTTGTAGGCCGACAGGTGGGCCACGAAATGTCCCTTGGTGCCGCAGAGGTCTGGGCACGTGACACGGGCACCCCACGTTGCCCCCACTGTCACGGCGTGTCTGAGCGTCGACTCAGAGTCCTCCAGCCTGCTCACCGCTCCTGTCTCACTGTCGCGCACACTGCACTCGGCACGGGCCTTGCACGTCGAGGCCGACTTCGCTTGCGGGGCCGGAGTCGCCGACGCCGGCAGGCAGACAGTCCGGCGGGCGGCGGCAGCTGGTCCAACGGATCCATCAGCGCCTCGCTCAGCCCCCGACTCTGACACTCCGGCCGTCGTGCCCGTCCCGGTCCCGGCGGAGGGCTCTCTGTACAGCAGCCTCTCCAAACGCTCCAGGCGCTTGTCGGCCTCGGCGGCTCTCTCCGTCTGCCTCTCCAGCAGCGCCGTCAGTTCTTGAATCAAAATTTTCTTCATCGCGCTGTAAGCTGCTCAGTCACGTAATTACAAAACCGACCGCGCCATGTTATGTTTTGGTTCGTTTGAGTGAAAGAGCACACAATCAATGAAAAAACGCGATTTATTTACTGCGATACGTTCAGGCCGAAAGAGTGTCCAAAAGAAAAACAAGTATCGCGAGCGCCGCGCCTAGTCGCCCGCGCCAGCTCTGCCGCTCGGCGCGCAGTCAGCTGGCGGCGGCAGAGGCGCTCACAGGCATGTAGCCGGGGCGGCCAGCGGTGGCGGCGGCAGGGGCGCGCGCAGGCGCGGCCAGCAGCCGTGCGGGGGTTGGACCATAACACAACAGGTATCCTATGAAGACAAATTCATAGCAATAACTTTTAGAATGATAATTAGAGGCGCTTTTATACTTGTCTATCCTTCAAAAATAACAGTGTCATCATGAGGTTGAAAACTATAAGACAGCTGAGAAACTCTAATGTAGAATGAAGCTTGATTTGCAAATGTTTTGTTGACTCCATACATTACAAGTATGCAGCTTATAACGTAAAAGCGACAGAGTAAAAGCGACTCTCTCTCCCTCTCTATTCATAATGCATCCGGTCTACCGGTGACCTTTCGACTCCGCTCTGACCCGCGACCTCTGACCTGCAGGCGGCCTGTTCCTGTCGTTCCTGGCGCCGGAGACTAGCCACTACGAGTACACCTGGCAGGAGGCCGCCTACCAGTGCGCCTCGCGCGGCCTGGTGCTCGTCTCCATTGAGAACTACGAGAAGGACCACTACATCGCCAGCCTTCTCCGCAAATACCGTGAGTTCAGCCGTGGGCCTTGCTGTGCAAGGGATAATTATTCACAATGCGAGCCGATAATATCGCAAATAGCACGAGTAGATCGAAGCAACATGTCCTGAATGAGGATTTGTACTCTGGCGTTTTGCATTGACGTACTATACATACACTCGATTATACAAAGTAGGTACGATTTAGCATACCTATGACGATACAACCCGCAAACGCGAGTAGGTATATGTTTCACCTTTCCCAGCTGCACAGCGATGACTCTCTCTCTCTCTCTCTCTCTCTCTCTCTCTCTCTCTCTCTCTCTCTCTCTCTCTCTCTCTCTCTCTCTCTCTCTCTCTCTCTCCCCTCTCTCTCTCTCTCTCTCTTACCCCCCCCCTCTCTCTCTCTCTTTCTCTCTCTCTCTCTCTCTCCCTCTCTCTCTCTCTCTGTCTCTCTCTCTCTCTCTCTTACTTTCCCTCTCACTGACACTCTCTCGCCGTTACAGACGTGCCCTTCATCTGGACGTCGGGCACCAAGCACGGCTACTCGTTCCGCTGGGTAAACGGCAAGACGATCGGCCCGTACTCGTACTCCAACTGGTCGCGCACCGGCGGCAACGGCTACCCGCAGCCCGACAACCGCGAGGGACACGAATACTGCCTGGCCGTCCTGAACGAGTTCTACCACGACGGTATCGTCTGGCACGACATCGCCTGCCACCACAAGAAGGCGTTCATCTGCGAGCGGCCGGCGAAACATCCCTACTAGTCGCGCCCGGGTGCCGCGCGGCCTCAGTGTCGGCGTGTCCGCCGTCAATGTCCTATAGGGATATACACAATCGAGCCAATGCACAGCACAGGCGTAGGAAACGACAAAAAAAAAATATTCGGCAATTTTTGGCCTTTTAACAAGACATCAACATTAACTTATTCAATTATGTCAGCCATCCAAATCATTAAAAAAGGTATCAGTGTCTATCGCGTTCTTTTTAGTGACAGTTATCAATCATTTCAAGCTTCAACTACGCGGGTCACTTGTTTGTAACAGTATTTACCAGTAGTTGTGTACCATTATCTACGCCTAAGGTACATACACTGTGCAAGGGTGAATGTCTCATACTTTGATTAATGTAGGCATAAAAGACATGAAATGCCATGAACCAGTGTTGTGTTAGTTGCTCACTCCTGTTCACATACTGTTATAAATACAGGTGCATAAAAGATGCCTCACCTTTGAGAAGGGTAGTTCAGCCGTGAGAACGGCATTTATCGGAGGGTTTGGATTCACGCGACCATCGAGGAGATATCTCGTTTCCAAAACCTTATTCTCATCAACTTTCATTCACGGGCTTCAGGGCCGGCGTTAGCCATAAAAGGTTCACTAAGTAGTCAATTCATAGGTACTTTTTCATTGATATTGACAGACACATTGAATTATAATTGGAAAACAATGGGACCGTTTTTGAGTTATATTACTTTAAGTTGGCTACACCGCCTACACATGTGTTTCGATATAACTCTTCTTCAATCCATAAATACAAAGTCATGGCAAATAATTCGCCTAAACAATAGGTAAACTTGTTGTTTGCTTGTTTGTTTGTTTGCTTGCTTGTTGATTAGGCGAATTATTTACCAAGATACCTATAAGAAACAGGTAGGTCGAATGTTTTGAGTAAAGCCCTGGTGACGTCACTGACATTTCTTATTATGGAGAATTTCGCCTATTAGGAAAATATTCTACAAAATTAAATTTGTATTATATAAGCAAAACATACAATCTTTCAATTTCATTATGAAACTTATATAATTTAATTATAAAACTTGAAATCCTTTGAGTGTTTGTCTCAACCCCCTGCTACCTACACCTTTGGTCACGTAACTGAAATGATAAACTTTGCGTTTTGCAATGTTATGACTTAAACAGAAGTAATAAATGTTAGAAGTGTATTATATGTGGTGTTTTAGGCAGAAATCGTGTAAAAAATGTCCTTAAATTACATGGGCGTAGGAACGGCTGGAACATTGTGGGTGCACGGGTGCAGAAATCTAGCCATGGCCGATGAAGCGGGGGCGGGGGGGGGAGGGAGCGATACCCGAGCGAAGGCTCGTTACGAGCTTTGAGGGTGTACCATGTCGAAAAGGTACCGACCGATAAGTGCATTTGAAAGCATTGACCCTCGCATGTGTAGGAGGGTCGGATGAACCACCCATATTTTTTGCAATAACTCACGCAAAAAGCGGCCGATCGCCACGAAACCCTTAGCCCTCGCCCGCACATGGGGGGGGGGGGGGGTTGCCACCCCCCCCCCAGGCAGTCTTTCTGCTCTGCACTCAACATTTTTAAAGCTAGAAGGCTGATTTTTCGTATAGCTGCTCGTCTATCCTTTCTTGATGTCCACTGAAAATTTCAAGTTTCTGTGATTTTTGGTTTCGGAGATATGACCTTGTTTTTCAGGTCATGTCATGACCCAAATGGCCAATTCTCAACATCTTGCGTTTGCCATGGGCCTTGTAAGCTTTTGACACCCTGATTTCGGCCTTTTTTGCCAGTCTTTCCTCCCACCTATCATGGAACATGTGGTTCGACGATGTACAGGGGTCAAGGTCAGGGTCAAGGTCAACCTAGGTCATCTAAGATAATTGCGTTTTAGGCAAGCTGAATTTACTTTTTGTGAAGTTTTTTTTTGACTGCATTTTTGGTAAAAGCTTCTCAGATCATGATTTCATGTGATATGGACCCAAAAACAATCGGTGCACACATCAGTATACACACAGACACACACAGACATACAAACACATATAATTGACCTTGACCTAACTTGACCTGAAATGACCTCAGCAGCAAAATTCTGGTCGGATAGTGTGACAAAGAGGTTCTAGCTGGCTTGGCACCAGAAAACAGCATCGTCATCGGTATTTGATAAGCAGCGCACTTGATATCCAACGGTGACCCAAAACAGCAACATTTTTTAGTTTGACCTGTCCTGGAAGGTCAATGACTGACCTGAGAAGGTAAAACTGGGTATCATTGGATTCGTCTCTTCCCAAAGAATCTTTTTGGTCCCTACTGCTAAGCTCTATCTCCAACAGGAACGAAATGGCGCGGGGGGTGGCAACCACCCCCCGCGCCATTTGCGTTCTAGGATGGGAAAATGGCATGTGCGGGCGAGGGTTAGTACCCTCGAGTTGATCAGTTTTACACCTACTCTGAAAATTTCATGACCCTGACCCAAAAGACCTTTGACCTGTGACCTGATTCTCGAGACCATGTTCGGCCGGAATCGCGATTTGGCGTATGTCAGCTCACATTATCCGCGTGTTTCCAGTCTTTTTGTGATTGTAGACGTCCAAACATGTGAAATGATGCTCGTCCCATGCATCACGGTGGGTGTGAAGGTCACCTGAAGGTCAGGTCAGGTCATTGACCTTTGATGACATCGGTTCACTTTTTCGAGTTTTACATGTTTCTAGGGTAGTTTTTCGGGCTGATTTCGAATTAAGCATCCATTTGAATCCAGACGAAATAGTTTTAGTGCCTTCGTAACATGCTACGACGCCGTCAGTGGTAGTTGACACCTACTATGGATAGCCAGTAGGACGCCTAATGGTTGACCTGACCTGACCTGACCTGACCCGATCTGGCCAAATGCATGAAGAAATCATCTGTGATCAAAACTAGCATCAGATATTCGTGAGAAGCACCCCGAAAAAACCGATAACAGTTTCACTTTACGCAATACGCAGTTCTAGCAGGTCCCGACTTTTCAGACTTTTGGAAAATTGACATGACCTGGAAGGTCAACCAATGACCTAGAACCTTAAAATTGGGTATCATCGGCTTCCTCTTGTCACGAGCAGCACCCTCGTTTTTTCCGCGAAGCTCTAGCTCGATCAGGGGCCGAACGGCAGGGGTGTCCGACCGACCCCCACCCCCTACACATTAGAAGCTGGAAAACGCCGTACACATGCGAGGGTTAATATTGTCAATATTGACTACCGCAAAAAGTAAAAGCGGCCAACTTAGCCATTTTTGAAGATATCGGGCTAAATATTTTGACAGTGGGTCATCGGTTCGGTATGTGTTCAATTGCACACGCTCCATTTCTTTTTTTTTCTTCAGCACAAATGTAAGTTTTGAAGACCATCACAGTAGGAAATGCTTCGAAAGATGGATAGTAGGCAACATATCCTGAATGTGCCGTGCTGCATGGGAAGTAGTGTTGATGTGAAAAGGGGTTTTTGGTTCAGATTATTGTGGGTGCAGAATACATTATCTGCACCCGCTGGAGAAATATTGTGGGTGCAGCTGCACCCTTGCACCCATGGTTCCTACGCTTATGTTAAATTATATACCAGTAAAACGCCTTTTGGGCGAAGAACGAGCGAGCGAGATAGTGAGCCCCATGCACGTGCAGAAGGGCGAGAGGGTACTTCCAACGGGCTTGTGCAAAGCACCCTTCTAACCGGTCGCTAGCGGTGTGCCAAATTTGAACGCAATCGGCCCAGCCGTTCCTGAGATCTGAAAGCGGCATTCTGCACGTGCGCACGTGCAAACGGGGTCCAAAATGACTTTTGCACGGCACCCTACTAACCGGTCCCCAGCCGTGTACCAAATTTGAGCGCAATCGGCCAAGCCGTTCTCGAGATCTGGAAACGCCCCCTGCACGTGCGCACGTGCAGTAGCACCCTAACCGCAACACATGGGAATGCATTGCCTGGTGGGTGCCTACCTGTATGCCAAGTTTCAGCGAAATCGCCCCAGTAATTACCGAGTTACTGAAATGGGAACAAATTTGGCACCTCTTATTGTTGTATTTTGCACGTGCAGTGGGGGTCACTCACATAGATGAAGAGTATCCGACCTTTGGTAGAAGGGATGCAGCTACCCTATAAAAATGACCGCAAGACAATCGCTCGAGCCGCTGCTGAGATATGGGCCTCTCAAAATCATTGCTTTTGCAAAACTGCTTGAACACCCTTGACTTTTCACGTGGCACGTGCCACGACGGTCACTGAGATGTATCAAAAGTAGTCAATTACGGGGTAGAAGGGATGGGGCTACCCAGCAAAAAAGACCGCAGGCCATTCGGTCCAGCGGTTGCTGAGATATAAGCCTCTCAAAAGCGTTACAGGCCGGGCCGGGCCGCTCATACTGAGATTTTTCCGTTATATTGAAAAGACTTCGCTTCGCTCGCTGCGCTCGCTCGCTCGTAATAATCTGTTGAAAATAAGTCACGTGATGTTACCAGATTGTGCTCGGACAGCATCTTCTTGAACTTCGATTTTGAGTACTTTGTACCTTCATAGAGGCCTAATGATGGACGTTTTCAAAAATGAAGCACTGAATCTAATAAGGGCAAATTCCTAATCATTTGTTGCCCTTCAGGCTGGGCTATCCAGGCATGAACTTTGGCCAGTTTGTGCGTAAAGCCTTTGGTGAAGGGAAAACTTCACGCCCAGCTGACGTCACAGACCTCGGCTACCAAATCGTGTCCGGTGGGGGTCGCTGTTTACCATGACTTTATATTTATGGCTTGAAAAATGTTTATATCGAAACACATGAGTAGCCAACTTAAAGTAATATACTATAACTCAAAAACGTTCACATTGTTTTCCAATTATACTTTTTCATGTCGTTTCACAGGCCATACGTTTCCGGTTTTGGCGGAGTTCAGCCGGGGCTCACTTGGCCAGTGCAGGGGGCAGGAGCCAGAGCGAGAGGCACCGTCACTGGTGGATCCCAAGGAAACTGGGTCATTTCAGCCCTAGCCTCGCAAGTCTCGCAGCGTTCGAAACCTGCGAGTTGCTGGGGGGGGGGGGGGGCGTTAAACGTCCTCACTTCTTTTCGCCGCGCATAGCTAAAGAAACAGCGCGCCGCAGGTGTACCAAATTTTGGGTAATACCTAGTAGGGAATTGATTAAAAGCTTTTGTGACCAAGTAAAAAAAGAAAAGAATTGGTCTGAAAATTTTTGAGATATCGAGGATTTAGTGACGTCATAATTTCTAAGTTTTCGACCAAAAACGGCATTTAAAAAAAAATCATACAAAATTACAGAACAGACGTAGAGACACACCGTAATCGCCATTAAATTGCCAATACAATGAACAATCAAATGGCTACGTCTATTTTCAATTATCATTCTATGCATCTACCTAAATCTTGAACTGAATCTTAAGATTCAGTTCTTAAGATTCAGAAATTGCCAATAGCCAATTCATTGCA